AAACAGTAGAGAGCTTGAAAGCAGCTGGGCAAACCCACCAAAGTGAGTAGGTGGATGAGATAATTACCTCAATTTTTTGTCATATGTTATGTAATCCACATTTCAGATCAGACAACTTACTTCTAGTATTTTGTTTTTTGATAGATCGGGTCTTGCTGAAGTTACCAATGAGCTCGAGGAGAGGCAGCAAAGGTGGTCTCAAATAGAATCACTGTGTGGATTTCAGATTATGTCGCAGACGTCATTTGGTATTGGGAAAGACAATGGGACACGTTCTCGCTCTGGTTCTGCAATAGCACAAGCTCTTGTTAATGTTGCTAATGTGGCCGGAGTCAGCTCAGGAAGAAAGATCTCTTCCAGTGCAAGTCCTTGGAAAACAATTTCAGAAGTCAACACAGCGATAGAAAGCAAAGAAGATCTTCCTCCCACGTACTCCACTGCTACTGGCAATTTAGGTTTACTTAATGATCAAAACAAGCCTTCCACCCCCAAAAAAAACTTGGCTGGGCCAGAGTGTGATGATCTTTACAGTAGCAGTCAGGATATTACGCCAGAAACAGAAGATGTGTCTTTTAATCAGAGTGATAGTCATCCAAGCCATCAGTTAGGAGCAGAGGCTATGAATGGTGCTACAAATGTAGTAGAATCAAAAACATCAGGCAAGCATCCAGAACACTTAGTGCTATCTTCTGGACAGTTAGAAGAAGATGAACCTGCTGTGAATGGTGCCCAATCCGAGTCACCAACTGGGAAGTCAAAAAAAAGATTGAGCTGGTTTGGAAAGAGACAAGATTCTACCACCGAAAGTGAATCTTCTTCAGCACCTGAAAATGACGATGAAACCAAAAGAAAGGTCAAGTGGTTGTGGAGGTCAGCAGTTCGCAGGTCAAAGGCACAGAGGAACCCAGCAAACAAAAGAGAAGATGCTGCACCAATTGCCACGTCGCTGGAAAAGTTAAAATCAGGATGAAACTCAACAGGAGATAGCTAGTGTTGGGTATGTGCCTAATTTGACTACTTCTGTGTAGCGTGTGTTTGGCAGTGATCCTTTCTGCAAGCAGCTTGTTTTCTTGAAAACTTCTGCAGATTGTCTGCAATTGATGCAGTAGCAGCTTGTGGTTGTCTTGGCCAAGTGCTGTTGCAAACCCACTGGCCATGTTGGTATTGTAGAACTTTGTATCCTCCAAACAGAGTTGTTGAAAGATAGCAAGTACATTTGCTGTGCCTAGTTCCTTTTTGGGGAAGAGCTGGATCTACATTGAGGATGTAATAAAAAATTTTCTGTAAAGGTGCAAGTTTCTCCAATTACGTATAGGGTTTTAACTGGTGTATAAATAATTATTTTGTTTTAAAATGACATGAAAATAGAGAGGAAATTAGTTGCAAAATTTATACTTATTAACAAGGTGATACATTTTTACAAAGTACAATGTGTACAGTACAAAGGTTTATTTGTTGGTTAAGATATGTAATATACATAACATGGTTACATAGAATTTACTCCAAGGTATGTACAAATGTTTTAAAACCACCATTTCTCATATTGTGATTTTATTGGGACAAAGTTGATAGTTTTTTTTGCAGATTCTCAGGTTTGTAAGTAAATAACATTCAGGTGTACAGGGCACTAACTTTTTAAAATTGGAACTTTTTTGTGTCATCCATACTGTCCGTGTCTGTGGAAATATTGTCCCCTCATATCAATTACTTTATTCACAAGAGGTCCATTATTACTATACACACTTAGGCCCCTGATGAGAGGACTATCCTGTTGTAGTGTGCTCTAGAGATCTCCTTTTGAACTGCTTGGTAAATTTACAAAAGAAATGGAAATTTAGTTGAAGGAAGTCCTAAGTGAAGCTGCCATGTTCTTTGAATAAAGAATGATGCATAATGCAATCCTCAGGGGTGGAAAAGTGATACTGACACACAGTTACATTTGATAGCCGTAGCAACTAAAGTAACATATTTTAATGGTATATTTAGAAAACAGTAAACACGGTGACTCACAAATTGTTTTGTTGTTCTGACTAGCATCAGCCCTTGTCAGGATCATGAGCAGAGATTGTGTATTTCATTGTCTGGGAATGTATTTTGTTTTTCAAACCATTAAACAATAGCTCACTTGGTTATTTGCAAGTGTTTATGGCAGAGTTAACTTATAAGAAGGAAGTGAAGTGAGCTAATGTTTGGTATTTTGGTATTTTATCCGTTTTCTTCTCACTATGAAGCAATCGAGGGGAAACCTCCATATTTTTCTGCAAGATTCTCTGATTTCAATCCTTAGAGGAAAAATAACTAAAATTTCTACTGGTTGTTTGCAAAGTTTGTCCTGTGTAGAGATTTCCTCTTGAGGAGAAGGAAGTTTCTATTCCACAGGGTATCATTCTTGTGCCCCAGTGGCTGAGATCTTTCTTTTAATCACAAAAAGATTCCATAATAGTTGTTATGCAAAGATGCATAACCCTCTTTGTGTTGAGTCAGTGTGGTTTTAACAAATTGAATAGAGTTTACGATAGTTTTCTTTTGTTGAATTTTTTCTTGTTTTATTTATTGATGGTGTACGCATTTTTGGTTGTTAAGAGGAAAAGCAATTGCAAATTTAAAAGTTGCCAGGGTAACTTAAGACTTCGTAGTGTCAGGACATTTTTTTAATTGGATCACAATGTCTTGGGAGGCTAAAATCAGAATTTTATTCTTGTTATACATAATTTGTTTTAAGGAAGAATCCACCAGAAGTTTGAGTAACAAGTGGACAAAAACTTTGTATCANATAGTTTTCTTTTGTTGAATTTTTTCTTGTTTTATTTATTGATGGTGTACGCATTTTTGGTTGTTAAGAGGAAAAGCAATTGCAAATTTAAAAGTTGCCAGGGTAACTTAAGACTTCGTAGTGTCAGGACATTTTTTTAATTGGATCACAATGTCTTGGGAGGCTAAAATCAGAATTTTATTGTGGTTATACATAAGTGGACAAAAACTTTGTATCAAGATTATCTGCATCATATTGCAAACTTCTGTTCTCTCAAAAGAAATCATTTCTAACAACACCAAGTGCCAAAAACAAATTTTGAAGTTCATATATGAAACACTTGAAAGTACTGGTGAAATGACAATGATGATGAAATTGTACTTGCATTTGCACAATTTCTATGAACTTTGAAATTTATTTTCTTGAGTTCCTGTAGGAAATCGTTTTTGTGTTATTCCAGGCAATTATTTATAGCTTTAGGTTTTAGAAAATGCAAGAAGGATTTTAATTTACTTAACATTACTCTAGTACAAGATTTTTGTCCACTAAAAACTGAAATTGATTTCCTATTGGATTTCGTCGTAATCATTTTGGTTCATGACTTAAAGTAAGTTTGCAAGATTTTAGAAGAGTATTTTGAAACAAAACTCAGAAGAAAACTATAATTTATTAGCAAATTAATATATTTTATCAGTGGGAAAATTGGAGATCAAACCTAGAGTATTGAAAAGAACAGTACTGTAACTTAAAATTGAGGAGGTGGTAAAATGGGGAATGTAAGAGAGGCCTTTGGGTGGAAGAGAAGAAGGGAGGTGGACAGGGGGTGGGGTGGGGTGAGGGATAGGTCAGAAGGATGGAAATAGGTAGGCAGGGGGGGTGGGACACAAAAAGGGAGGGAGATCAGGGCTTGTCTGTTGCTCATCGGACAAGTGAGAATGAAAAGCTACTTGCCCAGAAGGAAAATTTACTGGATGTCACTTTTTTGAGCCCTGGAAATGGGAAGGGGATCGCATTCCTGCTAACAATCCATTCAGCTTGGGGTGTGCATTATTAATAAGAGCTGCTTTTGTTTTCTCTAGGGCATCTTGGTTTCAATAAAGTGGATTTTTATAAATCTTGTTCACTTGTTTCTTTGAACAACAAAAGTGATTGATCAGTAGGAACTTGAGAATTAAATTGACTGAGTGTTTAGTTGGTCAGGGACTCATCCTTTTCTACTTGTTATCCTGATTGAACATACAACACAGTGGTGGCCACTCTGGAGTATGAGAATGGAAATGAAATAAAAAGTTCTACCCCTGAAGTAATCTGTAAAGAACCCTCAAGTCCTATTCATGCAACACTGCATTTTTGGTACTAACTATGGACAGGTTAGACTGTACTTGTTCCAGAGTCACCAGTACCCAGAACTTTATACTCTAGCACCCTGTTGTTGAAAGCATGGGATACATGTAAACATAAATTGTGACCTTGATATTTTAACCTCTCACAATAAGGTTTTCTGTTTGATATCGCGCCCTTTAGTTTTGAAGAACAAGCAGCAAAGAAAATAGGGGTCATCAGCATGCCGGTGTGTAGAAAATTAATATTGAAGCCATTGTACTGAAGGATGGCTAAAGGGGTTTTGTATATCTCTACTGCAAGATTTGGGCAAAACCTGATCCCCACTTCAGGAAGGGCAGAAATGTACATTTGAATATTAAACAGTCCTGGNCCCCGGGGACCTGAGGCCCAAAATTAATGTGAGCTCTCTCACAGGATGATATTACAAAGATAACTTTACTCTAGGGTGGCAGTGGCCTAGGGTATTTACCTTTCTTGTTCAGCACACGGGTAACAGCTCCTGAACAGCCCTCACAGGTCATTTCCACTTGAAACTCATGACGCTGATGTAAAGAGAGAAAAATTACCCTTGGTAAAAAGTAAGGCAGTGTTGAACAATGAAATATAAGATGTAAACGGAAGGAATGATCCCAGCCAGTGAATAATAACTTGATTTATTTAACATCTAACAGTTTTTAACTTGAAAATGTAAGCAGATGGTAGCCTGTAGTAAGACGATGGAATCTTTGTTTGAGGAAATCGAGAACTAAACAGTGGTGAGTAGGTCTGTTAAGTTTTAAAGGATTGTAAGTCTAATCATTCCTTTGGTAATTTCCCCCATCCATTTGGGGGGTTGGATTTTAAATGAACCGGCTCCTAACCCCTCCCCCTTCACATAAAGTCAGTTCTTTAATTAAGAACGAATTTCTTTTTTTATCGGATTTTTCCAAACAAACAAACTTTACAAATAAACTTGACGGAGAGTCTACAACCCAATAACAGTATTCACACGATCTGCGTCTGCAGAAAAATAACCATCAGTTTAGACTAATCGTCAGTCAACTTTGATTCTTTGTTGCCACGTCCTAAATTCTGATCCGGGAAGTATGCTTTCCTTTGTCGAACACGGTTGCAGAAGTAAGGTATTCGGTCGCCACAGGTTTCCATAAACAACAGAAACTCTACATAAATAGAACACGGGATCAAATAAAGAAATCGTGCTCGACAAATGCCTTCTCTTCTTATTTCATCACTTAGTCTGCAATGTAAATATGTCTTGCTGAAGTATGAAAAGCTTGCTTACAATAAAATTAAACAGCAGGAAGCTGTTTTCCCCCGGAATGGACAGGAAAATCTTTTAGATCCTGGTAAACTAAATCAACACAAAGATTAGTAATGATACTTACAACAGCAGCCATTTCAGCACGCTAAATTGAGCACAGCCGCGAGAGAGGGTAGAAAGATTGAATGTCGTGAACGTCCAAACCTTTCAGCAAACTGACAAAATTACTTTGAGGCCTCGGAGTAGTGTTGGGGGGAGGTGAGGAAGGGCAGCGTTACCAGTCGAAATTTTGTGAAAGCAGGCTTAGGGTAGAAAGAAGTCATTCTGTGGATCGCATAGAAATACATGTATGTATGTTTTTTCGGGCTACTTTTAACGATAGGAAAGGGGCCAACCAAACCAAATTTTACTAACCCTGAATTCTAATTCCAACTCACCCGACCCCCCTCCCCCCACTACGTTCTCCATCTCATAGGGGTCCACAGAGGAGCAGAGTCAGCCAAGCCAAAGCAAGCGTTTCTTTTCCGGTTCCTTCCGCACTCTGACCGCGCGTAAATTGGAGCGAGAGCAAAAACTCGACGAATCCCCTGCTTCGTTAACCTGCTTCGTTGACCTGCTTCATCGAATTTAGGAATATACTCTCCTCCCATCGCTTCGACCGGTTTAGGCACCTTATGGAGCGATTGTAAACAGTGTCATGTAACAGTCACGCTAAGTCTACTACCTTCAATTTACAACCTGCAAGCTGCAACCTGCAAATTATACCTGCGGAGGTGAACGTGAGCCTGCAAGGTCCAAGATGGAGAAACCGGTCGAAGTAATCGTTATTGGAGGCGGAATAAGCGGTCTCTGTGCAGCTAAACTGCTTGCTCTTGAACATGGCGTGAATGTTACTGTTTTGGAGGCAAGAAATCGTGTCGGAGGAAGAACTAACACTTTAGAAGACCCCAAATTTAAATACGCTGATTTAGGTGGAGCGTACGTTGGGCCAACTCAGAACAGAATTTTACGTGTCGCGAAAGAGTTAGGAGTTCAAACTTACAAAGTATACAATGAAGGCAGTATTGTTGAGTTTCTGGATGGAAAGAGGCGAGTATTTTCTGGAGATATGTCGACGTGGAATCCTGTCGCAATTTTAGATTATTACAACATGATTCGTACTTTGGATAAAATGGGCGCAGAAATCCCCCTGGACGAACCTTGGAAGGCGCCAAAAGCTTCCCAATGGGATAGCATGACGGTAAAGGAGTTTCTTGATAAGAGGTGTTGGACAAATTACGCTAAGAAGCGCATGGTACAAGTCTACAATGATGCTATGGCCGCAGAACCCGAGGATATGTCTTTGTTGTACTATCTGTGGTACCTCAAGTCAGGGGATGGAGTTCTTAGGGTCGCTGCTATTGAGGATGCCGGTCAGGAAAGGAAATTCAACGGAGGGTCTCAACAAATTAGCAACAGATTAAAAGACAAGCTCGGAGATAGGGTAAATAACGTTTCCATGTAGCTATTTGGCAGTACGTGTAATACCGTTT